GGGATTGAACCGAGGTCCCCTTGCTTTGCTTGGCTTAGCTTGTTCTAAGTAGGTGCTTTAGACCACTGAGCCATCTCACCAGCCCCTTAACTGTAATTTTTTTAAAAAAATATTCAGCATGGCTTTGATCACCCCTTGTATAAAGACTGGGGAAGATGGTAGTCTTGCCCTGAAGGGGGCCTGTAAGGCCATAAAACCTTGAGCTACTTGACCTCCCATTCGCTGCAAGGTAATGGAGCTGACCTTTAAGGAGTGGTCGGGCTACTTCTGGAAGCTAATTCTGAGTCTGGGGCTGAGGAGGTCCATGCCTTCTGCGTGTTTGCCAACAAGTCACATCCTTTACAGCTGTGCTGTAAAGGCCCCCAGATAAGACCTTCATCATACATTTGAGAAACTTTGGCTTCAAGGCCTGGGACACCGAGCCCAGAGCAGGCCCTCAGCCCAGGACAGCAGCTGGCCAGGTGGCAGAGCACTGTCCACCTCACTTGGCCCTGCCAGGGAAGATGGGCTTCCTGTCACTGGAGAGTAGAATAATAAATGTTGCACAGGTTTCTAAAAGGCATGCCTCTTCATGAGGCTGGCATGCCTGGAGGAGACCCATCAGAGATGCTTTGTCACTTAGCAAGGCCAGTCACCACTTGCAGGGTGGCTGGCCCTGCTGGAATCCGGTCACTCTGAGGACACTGCCCGGAATGCCTTCCCTGTCCAGAGTTTAGATGCGTCGAAGTAGCCACCCCTGGGCGTCGCATCATGCCGTGGTGTCTTCCAGGTGGAGCACACCTGCGGGGCTCCTGAGCCACATCTCGCCCTCCCTGGAGTCTGAATCTTCCACAGGCACAGCAGACACCGTCATGTGCTTGTGCTTGGACCCTGCTGCCGGTGCTGGGAGCTCTGCCCCGCAGCCTTCTTCTGCAGAAGCTTCCAGAATGCACAGAGCTGCGGCCCTAGGGGCAGGTCACCCAGGGGCGGGTCAGCAAGCTCAGGAGAGAAAGGCCCCCCAACACCACCACCTCCTCAAAACCTTTCTGGCACCAGCATCCCGTGGTTCAGCTGAGACTGTCCCCAGGCCTGTGTCCCAGACAGAGCCCTTCCTTTGCCACTCCTCCTGGCCTCCCTTCCAGAAGCTGGTCCCAGGGTGTTCCAAGTCTCTACCTCCAACGCGGTCCTTGTAGCCCAACCACATAAGCATAGCAGGCCAAGCAAATTTTCAGATCAACAAACAATTTAGGGGCTGGGGAGATGGCTCAGTAGAGTAAGTGCTTCTCTGGGAAGCACAAGGGTCTGAGCTCAATCCCCAGTTCTGCATTAAAAAAAAAAATTAGTTAAAACATGTATTGTAACTTTCATGGGCTATACTCACACCAAAAATTAATGTATTTGAAATTCCAAACATCTTAGACATATCATGGAACAGGTATTTTCCATCAAGTATTGATATGTTAAACTTTAAATCCCTACAGAATATGAAGGAAAAAACAAAAAAATAAAAAATATTTAAAAATAGGAATAAACAATCACATATTTTTACACAAAAATTTAAAAATTCAACCATATACAGCACTGTAGCAGGACAGTCCTATGACATGTTTTTTCTTGTCTCTTGTTTTCATTTATTATCTTTTTTTTTTTTTTAAACAGGTAACCCACTACTATTATGGACTACTGGACTATATTGGATTATTTTGCTGAATTCATGCACCTACAATATTTAAATGGCAATGGAATACCCAACTCTGACAAAACTAAACAGAAAAGGGAGATATAAATGAAGGACCATTTTGTATCTGTATATACAAAATAGTTAGGATAGATATACAGTTACTTTCTCTTAATTCAATGAGAAGAAAGATTTGCACTAATAGTGTTTGGACAGGATATCACGTCTGCCTCTTGTACTATGAATAACCACTACAAAGACAACAATATTCAATGCATCAATTATTGTAACTGTCCTACTAACTTGTTTTGAAACTGTCTCATTGCTATTTGTTTCTCAATAAAATTAATTTTAAAAAATGAAATTCCATTTTAACTTGAAGCCCTGCATTTATATTTGCTAAATCTGACAACCCTGACCAAGCCCAGGCCCAGAAGCAAGCACTAAGTTGGAGGGTAGAGCAGATGGACAAGGGCAGCCTCTGCTGCAAGGAGGTCCGGCTGTCACCGGCAAGAAGCTCAGACGGCAGGCACTCAGGGCCGAGGACAGGGCACAGAGGGACTGCATCTGGTGCCTGAGACCTAGGGACACCAGGATAAGGGGCGCAGGCCACATGGTGCACTGCAGGCCCAGCGCTCTGGGATTCTGAGCCCCTCCTGGGCAACTTAGTGACCTAGTAAGACCCTGTATCAAAAAATAATAATTAAAGCTGGGCATGGTGGTACATGCCTATAATCCCTGCACTTGGGAGACTGAAGTAGGAGGATCATTGTAAATTCATCCAGCCTGGCCTACAAAGTAAGCTCAAGGCCAGCTTGAACTGCATAGTGAGACTCCATCTCAAGAAGACAATTAATTAATTAATTAATTAACTGGCTAAAAGAACTGGGGATGTAGCTCAGTGCCAAAGGCCCGGGGTTCAATCCCCAGCACTAGGAAAGAGCTAATGTGGTCAGGTGGTCCTGCAAGGCTCCATTGGCCCTGTGTTGATGGAAGCTGAGCCTGAGGAATCCCCGGCAAAAAGCCAGCGCACCCTTGGAAGCGAAGTGCCTTTCACACTAGTGCTCCAGGAGCTCCGGTTTCCTGCCCAGGGCAAGGAAAGCTCAAAGCTCACAGGACTGCACGGCCAGAGTTGCCACCCCACAGGATAATGCTGCCATGCTCGGAAACCTCTGGGAACAGTGGCTCTGCCTGGGGCCTTAGCTGGCTCGGCCGCTGGCACACTACAGTGTGCGGAGCTCACGGCGTTTGGAAAAAGAGTGGAGAGTGGGTTAAATCTAGTTGGTTGGTGAGCTTTTCCTGCAAAAGACCTGATAGTAGCTCTCTTGGGCTCTGGGGGCCACACAGTCTCTGTTGCAGCTACAGAGCTCTGAGGGTGTGGTTGGCAAGAGTCCCAGACAGCACCTAAACAAGTCAGCCCAGCTCTGCTCCAGGGCAAGCTCACTTGCTGACAGCTAATTAAATGAGCGTCATCTCCGTGTGGCAGCAAATGCACGCTGCTTCTGGTTCTGCTGGAACCACCTGCACACACAAACACCCAACACACACAGTGTCAGGGAGAGCTGCCACGTCCTGCCACCCTGAGAGGGCTTACGATGGAGGACACTCTATGGGCCACTCCTGGGAGATGGGGTCACTGCGCTGACCTAAAGACTGGCACGTGCACAGGGCACCATATTTGTGTTAGTTTACTTTGCCCAAAGTGCCTAATGAAAAAATAGCTTGGGGGTTACACTATCCACGTACTGTCAGAATCCACGCCGAGTGCTTATGGCGGGCCAGGCAGCTCAGGAAATACGCCACAGCTGCTAGCTCATTCGGTCGGGCATGTGAGTCTAGCCCCTTCCCAGACTAAAAGGTTAAGAAAGCCTATCAGCTGGGAGCCAGGCACCTGCCCCTCTTGGCCCCACAAGACCTCCAGGTGGGGAGAAGGCTGCGTCCACAGGGGA